AAACAGACTTAAATATTGAATTGATCTTGTGAGTGAAGTCTGAATGAAAGAGTTGTAATGATAAACACTTTCATTGCTCTAAAAGTGAGGTTTGACATAAAAACTCAAGAAAAATATGTGTTCTTGATAACAAAGTTAAAAAGTCTGAAAGCTTTCAGATTTTAAATTACACCCAAAGGAGTTTTTTTTTTTTTTTTTAATGTTTTGTGTGTTACCTTTATATTTATTAAATATCACATTCTTCCCACTTAAACCATAAAATTCAATTCAACAGCAATACCATAAAATATTTAAAAAGGAGCTTATCTTTAGAATTTCTGATACACAGTCTTCTGTGCTGAAGATAAAATTGTTTTTTCTTCCCCATACAGTATTGCCATTGCTCGCTTTGAAATCGTTGAGTTTGTTAATAAAATATTCGCTAAAGTTTTACAAAATATGAACTAGATAATCAAACAAACTCCTTATTTGGGCTTCCACATGCCCACATTTGAGTAGAGGACTACATTATTCAAAATTTAATGTATTCAGGTACTGTTGTTTTTTCCTTACAATACGAGAAACATACATACATTCACGTAGATTCTTCATTATTTAATTTCTTCAAATATAATGCAAGGCTCTAATATTTGAATGCAACAATTTGAACAGTGAAATGCCGTTTTATAGTGAATGATGCAAAATGCCAAAAGAAAATTAATAGCCCTTCAGGGCAAACTGTCCCTTTGGGCTAAAAAAAATATCAAATTAAAATGTCCTTCAGTTTTATTTATAATATTTCTACTCTGAAATAAAAAATAAAGATTAAAATCATACAATTTGTGTACTTGCTGGACAGAAGTGAATGCATATAATACAGGAATTGGTTTTACAAAACACTTTTCTCCCACCCCCCCGATTTTCTGCTATCTTTTACTAAACTAAAAAATGCATTATACAGAGACAGTGGAATCAGATATATTATTTCTGAATTACTATAATTTATATTAAAGTAGTACTAAAAATGTGATTTATCAGAAAAATTTAAAATCAAAATCTAATCATAGAGGTTGACAAAAATTACAAGTATGAATGAAGAATAATTTTTTTTTTATTATGAAACTGAGGCATTGAAAGGAGTGAAATTTAGAAATTTTACTTTTAGTAAATTTAATAATTTGACTAGGTATAAATACTTGCATGGGCATTTCCATGCTGTTGTTCCCCCCCATATGTAATGTGAATTCAAATTAGTTTGCCTTAGAAAGTCTTCTTTTACTAAGACATAATGTAAATCTTGTTTGCCATGACTGATCACATAAACAAACTGGTATATTTCTGGTAAGTTAGCAATGCATTTTTTTCATGTAAGCATAATTTTCATACAATTTATTTGAGTTTACAGTAAAATATCAACAAAACAGTTTAAAGTCATAATTTACATATATTTTACTTTATGTAGTGCTTCCTTCCTGATGTTGTTTATAATGCTTTTTGAAATCTGTACTCAAGACAGCCTCATAAAGTATGTTCTTGTTAGAACCTTCTTAGCAGGTTTAGTGGAGTAGACAACTAGTTCCTCCTTGAATACTTAGGTAGTTGAGAAAGTTCACCTCCCTGGGATCAAATTGAGGCCAGCAAGGCTCCAACCCGCTAGTACAGATTCCTTAAAATGGGGTTCTTTCATTAAACTCACTTTTGCATTATATGAAGCTGAGCCAAAGGATAAAACCTTATACTAGTATCTTTAATCAGAACAAATAGATATACACACTTTATAATTATTATTTATCTATTGTTGCTGTTACTCTAACAGGGCATATGTATAAAATGCCCATTCAGAATTAAGGACCATTAAATAAGAATAAAGATGAAAGAAAATAATTATATCGAGAACTGTTGTAAATGTTCCATTTTTTGTTTTCTCCTGAAACTTTATAATATATATTTATTTAAATATATGACCTACTGCAGTAACAATAATTTATATTTAATGTTATGGCTATTAATTGCAGCATTAGGATTATAAGTTTACTGACTGTTAATGTGCATGGAATATTCCATACACATTAACTGTCATAATTAATATTCTGAATTTAATGAATATTCTTATAAAAATGGAGTTTTGCTAATATTTTACAAATATATTACAGTAGAATCCCAAAATCTAGAAGTTCCTGTAATTCATGCTCATTTTTGGATGTAAATGAACAAAATTTCGATTTTTCAGAAAATTCCATATGGTAAATTTAAAGGAAATTTTTTCCTCATATTCCTATTTTAGTGACATGGTGCATTGTCGCATCAGTACTTTTTCATGGCTTTTTAGTGGGGTGCTGATAATCATAAAGTACCAGAAAGTTTATTTGCACATACTTTTACCTATTGTGTTTTAATTTAAATGTATCTTATATATGATTTATTTACATATGGGACAACGAGTAAGCTTGTTTATATTGGCAACACTTAGTCACAGATTCTTAAAAACAGGAGTTATAGAGATTTTTCTGTGATGAAAAACATTATAAAGAAAGCTGCAAAATTTCAATCTTAGCAATTTTTTTGTTAAATGTTATTAATGCAACTGGCTAAGTAATGTTAATAATATTGAGTTAAACAGCAGAATTAGCCCAAGGATTCAATTTAGGGAAAACCTTAATACATGGATTTCTGTAAGCAATGCACTTTCCCCCGCCTTATTTAAGAGCATAAAAAATATTCTAAAAATAATTTCACCTCATGGATATACAATGTTTTGTATAAAATATTTCCATTACATTTTTAGAAGAGTTCTTTACATACTCATAAATTTCCTTTATAATTTTATCCTGTTTTCTCTGTGCTACCTTTACCTGATATTGATATTTTCTTGCACATAATTGTATTTACAAGACAATAACTTTGTATTTGAAAAGTGTTGATGTATCACTTTTTGAATTCAAAGTTATTGTTTGGTATGTAATGTAACATACATGTATAATTAAAAGGTATTGTAATGCAGTATTGTAACATATTTTCTGTAATAATTTTAAAAAATAAATAAAAGTTTTATTATTTATATTAGTCATATGTTAATTATGTGACAAACAAGCTTTTTTACTGACTACTGTTTTGGAGAAGCCAAATGATTTAATCAATGAGTCTTTTCACCGAGAAGCAAAATTCTAAATTTAGGATTGGGGGAGGGAGAACATTTGGCACCAAAGTTTTTGTCGGCATTGAAGACAATGGAAGGGAATCTCATATAACTTCTTAAAATGACCTTTTCCTTATGTTACAAAGGAGACTGTACTCACCTATCAAAATTGAGGTAATTTGAAACTATATTAAAATTTATTTAAATTTTTCTCATATTTTTATCAAATTGTACATACTCATCATTCACATTTAAATGTCATTGCTTGTAAATAATGGAAATTCACAATTAAGAAGAAATAGGAAGGATATTCCCATCTAAACCAGAATTGGAGTATATTGTCATTTTTTAATTATAAATATTTTCATAACCACAAGATATACACTGAAGAGCCATTACATTATGACCACCCCTAAACTTACAGCAATGAGCTCAGCCAGAGACAAAACCATGGCACATGCGTGGCTGATGCTGGTGTATATAAAGCACCCATGCACTGTTTCTCCGCATGTAGGAATGTTTAATGACATTATGGGAAAAGCAGCGGATAAGATCTGATAAAATTTTGATAAAGATCAAATCGTTATGGCTAGGTGCCAGGGAAAACTGATGTCAGAAATGCTGCATTTGGTGGGCTGTTCACATGCAGCCGTTGTGAGTACTTACTCAAAATGCTGTATGGTAGGTAAAACAAGTTATTTTCAAGGCACATTTGATTCCACAGGACAGTGGTGACTTTTATGCAATGTTTGCCATGACTGAAAAGCTACAATGGCCAAAATCACTAGCAACTACAACAGTGGTGATGTAGACAACGTGTCTGAATAAACAATGCAGCGAACACTGCCGTGTAGGCAGTGCCCTAAACGTGTCCCTGTGCTGATGGCATGTCATTGCTAACAGTAGAGCTTGAAGTGGACCAATGAACATGGGCACCGGACCACAGAAGAATGGAAGAAAGTCGTCTGGTCTGACAAATCACATTTTCTGGTCAATCATATTAATGGTCAAGTGCAAATATGGCCAATTTCCAATGAAAATCTGGCACCTGGATGCACAGCTGGCCAGACACAAAGCAGTAGCAGCAATATATTATGGAGCACATTAGGTAGATGTTTTCATGAGGTGCATTTAGATACCCATGTCATGTCTTGGCCTCCAAATTCATTTGATATGAATCCAATCGTACATTTGTTATTTCACCAGGAAAACCAAATTCGTGCTGCCACACTATCACCTCTCAATGTGCAGAAATTGCAGGACCAGTTGGTGAGTGCCTGGTACCAGATACTTCAGACTGCCTATCCACACCTTGTCAAGTCAATGTCCTAGTGGGTGCTGGCAGTTTTAAGGGCAAAAGGTGGTCTTATTCATATTAAACAGGTGGTCATAATGTAATGTGCTGTATATGCAGGATTAATATTATTTGTCATTGATTAGTATAATTTTAACATTTTAAAGCAACCATATGGTAGTTCCTAATATATAATAATACTCTATTTGAATGTTTTAAAATACTGCTTATTAAAAAAAAAGGCTTTAAAAGATCAGCACAGCACATTGCCAACAGCAATCTTTAATTTATAAAAACCCTAATAATTTCTCAGTCATGTTTAGAGCTATTTAAATTTGTTCTTCTATCAAACAGCTTTTCATTAAAAATAATATCCTAAAGTGAAATTTTTTTTCATATTTTATGATTTAATCACTAATGAGTCTTTTTCATTAGTCTGCAAATAAAATACAGGAAAAGATACTTAAAATTGCTGGTAACACTCAGTAACTTAAAATCATTTTGTATAGATAGAATATAATGCTGCTAATATATTTTCCATTTGCCATCAGCTGATTAAAATTTCTAATGAAAATAATTCACTAAATATTATTAGTGGTGGCTCTATTTATTTATTTTTTTTGTAACACAAGTAAGTCAATAAAAGAGCAAATTCATTTCTTTACACTTCCCCAAATCAGCTAACAGTTATTTTCTGTTGCTTACGTGAAACTTTTATTAACTCACAAATATAGAAATATTTCTTATCAGTTTATTATATTTTTGAAAATAACATTAGAAATCCAATTTTATGTATAATAGTCCCACAAGAAAAATTCTGTACTTCTTAAAAAAATTGTTTTGCAAGTATGCTATCATAAAAGGCATAAAGAATTTTAAGATAAACATATGAAGTACGAATAAGTTTATTAAAAATATATATCAAATAATGAGGTCTTCAGAAGTCTGTAACAGACAACAAAATGTTCTTAAAATAAAGAGGATCAATAAAATGTAAAAACCACCATAAAATATATAATATCAAATAGAAATTGTTCATAAATTTATGGCAATAATTTGATATATATATATATATTTTAAATCCAATGGCGGGCACTTGCCTATTCAGCACTGGCCACTCTTAAGGCTAGAAGTGGTGACCATTTTATTGTGGAGATGCCTAATAGTTGATTACCATTGCCTCTTTAAAAGGACAGAAAATTAAACATGCCTTCTTTACGATTCGAACTTTGGTAATTGAGTAGGCTCCTCTAACCACTATACTGTCTGTGCGCTGTTTGAAATTTATTGAAAATCTATTTAAAATTTGGTTAAAATCTGCAATTTTCTAGTCTGAAGACAATACCTTATGATTGAAACAATTATTTTTTCTTGCATGTCTATTTAAAGTTGCCTTTTAACTTCAAAGTTATAAAAAGTTCATTTAAAATAATACTGAACAATTATACATGGCAAGAGGCAAAATATGCAAATAACAATAAATAAATAATTTCAGTAACAAAGCTATCTGATGAAAGATCTTTGTATTCTTTGAGTGACTTACATATTTTCTATGAAAACTTAGTACACAATCAAGAAAATACATAATGTATTTATAAATAGACTTGTCAAAATCACGATGCATTAAAATTTTTAGAAAAATATGTATTTGTGACATTTATATGAAACTTATTCACATACATACATATTTAATGAAGAAGTTAATAAAAAAAGCTGCTACATAACTATAAATTAGGTCAAATTTTTTAAGTTTATCACTAATTTAAGTTACAGAGAGATGAATGCACAATATTTAGAAACCAGGAATTACACGCCCTTTCTTCTTTGCTCGTTTGATTTTATGTTCAAGTTTTTCCCTTTTTCTAGCTTTGATATTTTTCAACCTTTTCTCTTGTCGAGTTTTCTTCACAGTTTCAACTTGTTCAGTTCTTTCCTTCCATGCTTTTAAACTTCTCTTTTTCTTCTTCATTTCTTTTTTTATAGACTTTTTTAACAAAGAAGGATCATCTTTCACTTTCATGCCTTCTGTCCTTTGTATTGCCTTCTTCCATTTATCTTTTTCAATGGCTATCTTAGCTTTCTCAGGATCAGTTGCTAGCAACTCTTCTAATTTTTCTTTCTTCTTTTCAGCTTTTTTAAGAAGCAGTTTGGGTTTTTTACTCACAAAGTCTTTATTTTTTTCCTCATGTCCATCTTCTGTAAAATCAAGTTTACTATAAATGATGTTACTGCCTTTATTAAAAACAGGTTTGATTTCAGATTTCTCCTCCTTTGCTTTTGGAGTCTGATCTTTATTGTTAATATTTATATTTTTTACTAGGTTTATCTTCTGTTTGCTTTTCATTTTCTTCAATTTCCTTTTAATTTTTTCCTTTTCCGCAGTATCAGAAGGATTACAACTTTTACGTCTCACTAGGATGGGGAGGAAAAAAAAAAAAAGTAAGTATTTCATGAAATAAAAGTATTTAAAACTTTTAACACAATTGTTTAAATAAAAAGTTATTTGTACTAATTCCATTACTCAGCTGTATTGAGCAAATGCAAATTAGTATTAATTGTACCTCCTAACATTTTCTGTATGTGATCCTATCTTGGCCTTAATAGGTAGAACCTGATTATGAGATAGCCTCCTTGTGGCAGCTCCCCACAGTTCAGGGAACTAATATAAATGACTCAGCAGTGTTGTGCTGTTTATCTGTAGGAGATCTGATCTCATTTCAATCTATTTAAAATATTTCAGTTCTCTGGGGATCTCCCTTTGCCATATTTTCCTTCATTTAATTTTATATTTCGGTTCAAAAGAAGAAACTAACAAGGATTTTTTTGGTACAAATTTTATAGATATTTCTTATCTCTTACATGGGATATCTTGTTCTATTTAATTCTCCCAATCACAAGCAGAATGTCTTGTGTATTTATTCCTTTAGCTCTGATGAAATTTACCAGTCTATGATAATGACTGCATTATTAGTGACTTTAGCAAAATAACAAAAATTGTAAAATTGAGCTTGTATGCCACTCGAAATGGAATTAATTATAAATTAATAATTAACTAGTACTTAGTTTTCTTTATGTTATTGAACAAGAAATGTCAACAGCACATGGAATGATTTTTCTTTATATAAAAAAACACTGCCAGATAGTACCAGAATATTGGATATTAAAGTTTAATACCTCCATATGCTCATAAAATCACCAAGTTCTTCATCGATATACGACTGAAGTGACTTCTGTGGAAATTTTTAGAAGGAACTTATCATAAGCACTTGTGTTTTGGATTTACAATGATACTAATCACTGAATAAGACAATTTTCCTGTTCTTAGTTCTTATCTTGGCATATAAGCACTCTGAGGTTTTTGCTAAAAAGGGTGCAAGTTACTCAGGCTATTTTATTGTTCCTATGCATCCGTACAAAAATTTGAGCATTTTTCTTATATCTTAACTTCTCTGATTTCCAGTTAATTAATGAAAGTTTTTCAGACTTATCCACAAAGGTCATTATTGTTTCCTTACTGATTTCATTCCTTGTTGTTTTCAGTTTTGTTGATATTCTTTGATTTTCTACGGATTGTTTTATGAAGGTAAATTTAAGATGACAATATGAAAAATATGAAATAAACATGCTAGAAATAAATACTGCAAATAAAACTTTAATGGAGAAAATGAATGTCATGTATATTTTGTTTGTAAATTGTTTTCAAAGTTATTTGAAGTTTAATCTGATTTTATTAAAAGGGATGCCTATATTATTTATATGTTACTCCCTTGCACAAAAATAAATAATTTTTATGTAAACAATATTTTAATTTATCATTTAGTTTCATAGATATTTGAAAAATAAACAATGATAATAGAAAATCATTTTGCTCCATAGATGACTAAATTAGTATTACAAATCAAGTATGTAGCCATTAATTGTAATATACATGTACGGAGGGTGCTTACACATTTTTGTAACAATTTTGATTTTCACCATGAATTTAAATATTAATTTTAAAATGCAAATGTGACTGACATCAAATTGGAATAAGGTTTAATTATTATCTGCAGCATTAAAAATATTTTCCCCCTTAAAACGTTCCTGAAAAATAAACAATGGATATATTTTTGTGCTGTCCAAAGAGAAATACTCTTATTCAATTATTAAAAAAAGATGTGAAATGAATGGTTTTAATATTCCTACACGTAAAATAAGGGACGTAATTAATATGGACTGGGGAAAAGGCAAAAATTCATACCCAACAAAGGTACATACATATCTTATTAAATCTAAAATCGCATCTCATGTTTTAAAGGGAAATCCAGTCCTCCCCGGTAGAGCTATTACAAAATCTTTAACTATCTTTGTAGGAGAACTCTGTGTTTCAACTTCTGTTGGAAATCTGTGTTTGTCTGTGAACAAAGTTATAAAATCCAATTTAAAGCTAGTGAAAGCAATAATAATAATAATAATAAAAAAAAACCATAATGTTCATCATCTAACACCGAAACATGTTTCTCAGCATAAGACTATGTGCAGAATGCAGATAACATTGCAGCACATAGTAGATTGCTATGTGCAAACTGAAAATTATTTGACAGGTGAGAAATGAAAATATATAGTTACAATTGATGAGGCTTGGATATAGTTATCTGACTGCAACAGAAAGGACCAATTTGCTACCGAGAAAGAGGAGAAAAAGATTTAAAATGTTGGTTCAGAGAAAACAAGAAAAGGTTTGATGGTTACTACTGGATTTCTCTTATAATGAAAAACTTGAAATAAGGAGAGTAAGAAAAATCTCAAAATTAATTTGGATTACTATCAGAAATAACTTTTAACATCTATTTTTAAAAAAGAAATTCAATCTCTTTATCCAAACTATCTTCACTGTGTTAAGTTCCATCAGGATAAGGCTTTAAGCCATACCTCTAAATATACTGCTGTATTTTTTGAAAAAATGAGAAATGAAACAAGAGTTTAAGCTATTCCCCTTAAAAGCATTCCACCCAAGTCCCCTGATGTGTTTCCTATGGATTACTATGCATTTGGACTTTTAAAACAAGCTCTTTATAAGCGGCATGGACTCCGGAAGATTGTGAAGGAGGAGTGGAATGAAATCAACCCTGATGTTTTAAGAAAAGGACTTTTATCTTGGAAATCAAGATGTAATATCTTGGTTAAAAAGGCCTAGCAGAGTGAACGTATTAGGAAATAAAATTCCAAGTTTTGTTTATATTGTTAAAAAAAAAATTATGAACACCTTCTGTAATACATATCAAAATAGACTTAACATGATCACATTAAGCAGTGCCCACTATATATTAATTATTCATGAGTTATCTAAAATTAAACTTATAATAACATTTTTTACAGTATTATTTAAAGCATTTCAATGAAAAACATGAAATATGAAAACATGAATGCTTTCAAGAAGGGGGAACTTACTTTGAAGCTGATCAATGCGTTCCTGAAGACGTTTTTGAAGTTCTTCGATATTTGCAGCTCTTGCTAACACAGATGAAGAATTAGTAATATCTGAAATTTAAATAAATAATTAAATTTAAAAGAAATGAAAGAAAAAGCATTAACTATATGAATTACCTTTATTATTTTTTTTAAACTTAGTTTCTACCATTTAAATACAATGATGACGTGGATCTAGCAAAATACTTTCTCAAGAACCCTATTCATGGAACTTTTAAATTACAGAGGTGAGATTTAATGAATCATATCATGTTCTGATGTCAGAAATCATTAAATCTGCTATTTCGGTATTCTCATCACCCCAATTATTAAATCTGATAATTAGTAGTTATCTAATAAATTCACATGCAGATTTAGAAGCAGTTTTAAGAAAAAGTACAGCTGCCTTTAAAAATAAAATAGCTGATGCCTTTGTATTTTAACTAAAAATAATTTGTAAAAATTATCATGTAATTTTGTGACTCAGGCAATTATTCAAAGCTCAGCACTCCTAATTTATCAGAATATATGTTTCATAATAAAAAAAATATTTTTCAGAGAATGTTACCATTTCAAAATTATAGCATATTTAAGTGACTGCTTACGTCCAACCTTACCCAAAACCTTAAAGGATTCAGATTTTACTGTCACAGCAGAGGGTTTGCTAAGGTTTAAAGCTCTCACTGAGCATCACTAGTTACCAATCTGCTCTTAGACTCATTTTTGCTAACATCTTTTTTAAAAATATTTTCAGCTCTAATATGAAGAACAGCATTCTTCTTGTACAGCACATACAATTCAACAGAAAAATCACAAAATTTTTAAAAGCAGCACATGTTTAGAATTTCTGATATAGTGTTAATTTGTCTAGTTTTTTCAATCTTTTTTCAGTTCATCATATTAATGATCAGTTTTCTTAGTAAATGACTTGCAAAACTTATTTTTATCTTTTTATTATTAACTTTTTGTGTGTTTATTTACTAAATATCAAATTCTTTATACTTATGCCACATAAGATTACCTTTAAAATTCCAGAAATTCCGCAGATACAGTGTTAGGGTTTGCCAAACATTAAAAAAAAAAAAAAAAAAAAAAAAAAAAAAAAAAAAAATATATTATTTTTTTCAAACTAGGCTCAAGTGGAAAGCCATCTAAATTTAGTTACGTAAAAAAAAAAGTATATAAGATTTTTAATGAGTCCAACTAGATTTTTTATAAAATATTTAATATTTCGATTATATACCGTATATACCCGTATAATCGAGATATTTTGACAAAAAAAAAGACTTCAAAATGGGGGGGGGGGTCGACGCGGGGCCTTTAAAAATTAAAAGAATCGGTGTTCAAAATTTTCTTTTTATATAATGCAGTTGTTTTCTTCCCGCACTCAAATTGGACGACTTATCAAATAAGTCACTTACTTGTTCGAGACTGAAAATATGTATGATGATGAGCCAATGACGACAGAAGAGTTCTATGAAATGTTTGCCAAATCTGACCATGAATCGGACGTTGAAGGATTTTAATTTTGTTTATTTACCAAGGTATTTTTTATCATATATTTACTTTTTTTCTCAGATGATTTTGAATAAATGTAGTACATAAAAAAATTTTTTCGAAGTTTCTCGATCAATTTCGGAAGTGGGGGGTCGACTTATATGCGGGTTTTTTATTTTCTACGAATTTTTTATGTCGAATTTTGTGTGGGTCGTACGGGGGGGGTCGACTTATACGCGGGTATATACTGTATCTGATTTTAATATTCTTTTATTTAGTTCAATAATAATGACAAGCAGAAAAAATATTCTTAAGAAGTGTGCATATTGCTTTTAAATCATTTAGTTTGTTACCCCATAATTTTACAGATTAAATCTGGTTTTGAAGTTTGGTGAAGTTAAATATCTTAGGCTTCACTGAATGGCAACATGATGGGTGTGGTGGAAAATATAAGCCTTTTATTTCTGGTACTAGCCTGCTGGAGATAAAAATATATATATTGAGCATTGTTGCCACTTCTCGCTTTTAAATTGCTGAGATTGTTGACTAAAAATTCATTAAATGCGTACAAAATATTAAAAATAAACAAATTCGAAACTTGGCTTCAAGGTACACATATTTGGGTGGAGAATTAAGCATATGAAAAACTTGACCCTAGGTGCCATCATTCTTCCACAGCGAAGAAACATACAAATCCTTCATTAATTAATTTTTTAAAAATATGATAGTAACACTTGGTGGCAACAATTTGAAAAGTAAACTGGGCACGAAAGTGAGTTTCAAGATTTATAGCATGCCTTAAATAATAATAATAATAAAAAAGAGATTAGCAGGATCTGTAGCTTTTACAGTTTAATAATTTTATGGAGTTTATTTAAAAGAAGATTTGGTACTTCCTTGTTAAAAGTAATTACTGCATATTTAAAAGATTTGGTATTGCCTTGTTAAATGTAATCACTGCATAAGCTTTGATGACATTTAAAATTAATTTGGCAAAAATTAGAAACGATAGTGTGTATGGGGGGGTGACAATTCTCTGCTTTTATGAATGCCATAATTTGTAACTGTTTTTATCGAACAGTTAAATTATTAGTTATGAATATTTTCTCTCTTGCCACATACTACCACACACCAATGATGGATTTATGAAGTTGCATTTAGGAATTACAGTAAAATGGTGAAAACCATCCTAATTTCTTGCTCACAAGGATACCACCAACCTGAATACACCATATTTCTTTCAAGAACATATATTTTTATTATCTTATTAGCATTTAGGCAAATTCTGCCTAGTATTTGTACTAGAAAGCATTCAATCATCTTGCATATTCCTCAGAAAATCCATTGTTTCAGCAAAATTCTAATTACACTGTTTTTTGTTTGACAAATAGACTTCGTCAATCCTGACCATTTTTTTGGGTGCACCAATTTTAAAGTTTGAGTATTTGATTAAAAAAAACTTCTCCTGTATAGTAGTTCTAATCAATCACTTTGTTTTCAACCATATTATACAATCTACAGCATCTTCTGGTGAAAGGTATTTTTTTTTCCAGCTTTACAGTGTATGAAGCACAAAGCAGTAAGGACAGGAATCCTGAAACCAAGAAAACACTTATTGGCAAAAAGATCATTTTTTTCTCTGAAACACTTTAAACTGCATCTCCAAATACTTTGCTTCTCAATAAATAAATTCATCTGGGAATTATTTTTTTACTTTTGCTCAGCATGTACAATTTCCTGCTCTTGGTGATGGAGGGGGGTGCAGAACCCACTGCTTCATTTTTAGTTGATGTCATGTTAAATATGGATAATATTTTAGCAGAAGATAATATGAATATGGAAGAATGAACAATGTCAGGAAGAAGCTATTTATTTTCCAATTAATGGAAAGTTAAAATATTGATGATTTTAGAGAGAAGATAGTCAAATGATATCACAGAATCTAAGGTGAACATTCAAATCAAATATGTAGAATATAAATATCACAAAATTACTGCTTTTTTCTACTTATATTATAAGCAAAAATGATTTAAGCACATCAGAGCGAGGGAAAAAAAAAAGAATACTGGATCAATATCATGCAGATAACATCTTAATCAAAATAGTATGAAAATCAAATCTGTTGCATGTAAAAATCTGGCAATTTAATTTTCCTAGTTGGCAAACTGATAAGGTAGTCAATTTAACAATTTAACAAGTATTGAAGATTTCTCTAAACTTTCTTTACATTTGCATATTTTGTTTTGAAAAATGCAATCCACTACATTGAGTAATAGCTAAGGGTCCAATGAATATTTGATACATAAGTTAGGATTCTAAATGCTATATTTATCATATTTTGCATTTTATTTAAGTATTTTCTACATAATTTCATTAAATTAGGATGGTATTTTTAAGATAAGATAGCCCAAACACATAAACACTAAATCCCAAATAAAATATGGCTGTTTGTCTTTTCTCTGTGAAGTCTACTTTTAACATCACAGAGAAAAGCCAAACAGCCATATTTGCTGCTAAAATTTAATTTCAGAAATCTGGTGTACAGTTGGACTTCCTATAAAAGGCTCATCTTTAGCATCATCAAAGCTGCACTGTTTAAAAAAATGATGCCAAAAGCAAATTAGATATTGGAGATCAAAGATGCACAGGCAAAAAATGGTCAAGATAGTGAATCACAGTTCTAATGTGAATGGAACTGTGTATTGCAGGCTTTTGCTGATTGGAAAATCTCAAAAGAACCTTGGTTTTTGAGATTTTTCAATTCCCCAAAGCCTAGATGATTAAAAAATGTGAAAACACTTCCTGATGCCTCTAAAACTAATTGCAAGATGTGGATAATGGCAAAACTGAAGGACAGTTACAAAAGCGGGTTGAAGAACTTTCTGCCAAAATGCAAAGGATTCTACTCCTGATTGTGCTGACACACAATATCAGGAACCTAAGATGGATTGTTTTCTTGCCTATCACTAAGTGGGTGAAAATAGAGGTATTTCAATATTTTCAGATTGCGACACAGAAAATTTTCAATTATGTGATTATAATATTGTTACACATGAAGATCCAAGTGATGAATGACAGAACTAAAAAATGCTGGCATTGAAAATTCTTCTTCTAATCCTGGTGAAAAGGCTAAATAAATGCAATATACTGAACTCTCTACTAAACAGATGCCAGAATGCAATGTGTATCCCTTATGTTTTTATTCCCACAGACTTCAGAACCCAAAATTATGGAATCAATAATTTTGGGGCAAAAATATGAATAAAGTTTTTTTTTGCAATCTGCCAGCAGAAAGTTAGATTATTTCTATACTCAGAAGTTAAGGATAAATTCATCAATATTATTTGTTATTAATTTTAATGTTTATATTTTTTATGGATAAAATAGTTATAAATGTTTAATTTGGGGCAAGGGTCAGAACCATGATATTTATGCTAAGCAAGCTATCACGTAAATTTACTACCAGACAGTTAAACAGGAAAAGAAAGGTCAACAAATTTTAATAATTGTGCAAAATAACAAACAATAACTGTAATTAAATCTTAATATGACTTTATAATTAAATTTATTATTCCATTCTTTTGGTAGATGCAACAGTGTTAACTGTCTCAGCGTTACGGACGTAAAGTCCCATGCAGAAGGGTGGCATTCTTATTCATTACAGATGAAAATTTCTGCCAGCTTTTACTGTATCCAATTTTAGGTTCAATGCATATTGGAAAAAAAAAAAAAAAAAAAAAAAAAAAAAAAAAAAAAAGGAATCAAGGTACAAAATGAGTGAGTCATTTTTTAAATTATAATCAAGAATTTACTTATAACATTTTGAGGAACTTTAAAATTGTAGGGCTAAACCTGCAATGCTCGAAGGGTTAATCAGCACTTTTTTTTTGTTATTCAATATTCAATGTTTATATGTTTTTGACACATTTACGGTTTTTCAAACATTGTTTATTTTTTAAGATAATCCTATCTTTAATAATTAGACTGGACACAGCAAACCACTAGTTACCGAGAACAAAATCTGTGGTACCTTGAAGTTCATTACAGCAAGGTGGTTCAACTATCTTTTCCACCTGTTTCTAATGTTACATTTATTTTTCCATGAAATTTTTTAATTATACTGCATTTTAATTTGTCATGCACTTGATGGTTCAACAGTTCTACCAAGCGAAGCAGACGGTTGTTGGACCCAAACCACGTTTCTGTTGCTTTTTATATTCAAATCATCAACTTTTACACAATTAGAACAATCAAAATGTATTTTCATTATGCCAGATTGTGCATCTAGTTTTTGATTAAATTATTTACTTATTTGGAATATTTTTTCTGTGCAATTTTATCATTTTCTTGTCTTGTTCAGGCTTTTAAGCATTCATTTATCGCTGTTTTTCTTTCAAATCATTTAAATTTTGCACATTAATTACATTCAAAATTTATTTAGTCTATATGATACAACACTTTTAATTATTTTTAATTAAGTATCATATACATCCTACTCGAAATATAATAGTCTTCTATCATTTTAAGACTTTCTTCCCAGTCTGATTTTTTATAAAAATATACTTCAAATATAGTTTATGCTTTATACGAGATTTTGTTCTCTAATGCATTTTGTAGTTTTTATCGAAATAACAGATAAGCTTCTTAGCAAAACATAAATTTTATTCTCAATTCTCGAAGGTAGAGTATGGTATTGGAAAGTCAACTGTATATGACATAAGAAAAAAGAACTTTTTGTGGAAGCAACTTAAACAACTTACATTGAAAGAAATGTTTATTTAATAAAGTAAACAAATAAATATTAATTTTTTTTGTAAATTTTGATACCCTTTAGATCATAATTGTTCTTTATTTCATAAATTACAGTTTCATATTGTATAATTTCTCGATGCTATCTTACTACATTTAAATTGATGATCTAATATCTGGAATCGCCTAAGTCCCGACGAGTCCAGATTTCAGACTTTGTACTGTATTATACTTTAAGGGAGCAATTTATTTTCAAGCCCACTATTTATGTAAAAAAGTCGAATTAAAAAATATCTTCAATTCCCATGGTCAGGCTTCATATGTTTCAGTTGGAATATATAATGAATTAATAACATTACATATGTAGTTAATTAATAACATAACAGAGAGAAATCTTAAAACTCAGAAAGGGTTTATACAATATGCTTATTCTGCAGCTACTGACAAGAATGTCCACCCCAGTCTTCAACTTTTCTCTGTGGGCCTGTCTGCTCTTTGGGATATGGAGAGATCTTGGTGTGTCTGAAGCTGGATATGCAGGTTTAATAAAAATCACATGAGCGAACAGAAGGTTCATGGTATTGTTCCATCTAACCACTGAAAACAAAATACCCTAGAGACACATGGTTACATGTCTACACAGATGGATCAATGTTTAACAATGAAGACGGAGCAGGAGCCAGTGTGCGTTGTGATCTTTTTTCATGCTATGCACCAATAGGTGCTCATTCCACCCATTCCGATTGCAAAATCGAGGCTATTTACATTGCATTAAAGCCACTGGCTATCCGCCCCTTGTCATTCTGTAGAGCGATGATTTTGTCAGACTTTCTGTCTGCTCTTCAGTCTTTAGCAAATAGGCAAGACACAGATAATATCTGTATACTGGAATGCAAAGAGCTCTCAACGTAAATCTCTGTTTCTTTCCAGTGCATCCCAGCTCACTGCGGGATTCCTGGGAACGAGGCTGCTGACTTTTTGACTAAGAAAGGGTGTCGAGGGTTCTCCAGACCTTTAAAAAGTCTCTTATTTCATTCAGTCAAACTCCTGATAAAAAGATGATATGCCTCCAGGATAAAGGAAAGAGCACTGTGTGACAGCCAGTAAGCCATGAGCCTCACTGCTTGAGGCACAGTTGATCCCAAATTTTCCTTAAAATGCAGCTGTGGCACTTTTTTGCCTTACTACAGGCCGTGACTATTTGCCAACATACTTGTATTGGCTTGAGCTTTATGACTCTCCTTTATGTTCTCTGTGCGGACAACATCAAATTTTTTATGCTACTCATCTTGACTTATGCTCTGCACTTTTGTTTTTAAACTGTGAAGTTCAGAAATATTGAATGGCTAGAGATCTAATGACATCATAGCCAATCTTCTGGGAATTTGTAATAAATAAATAACATTACATTGTATAGAATAAATTGTACTGCATAAAACTGTTAAATCGCATAGAAAAAGTGGTTTCTAAATGATCGCCTATTCTTTATGAAAGCTGTAAGTATGAATAATATGGTACAGTAAATAAATAGTATGCATATTAAAAATTAACCATAAAAATAATAAAATCATTATTCGTAAAGAATGTGTTTCAGATTCAAATACAAAAATTAAACCTCTAACAAATACTTTTTATAAAATATTCTACTTTCAAAGAAACATATTTTACCTTTTGTTTTCCTGTTTTTCTTTCGATTTTGTTTGTTGCATTGTTCTTGAATTTGTGACACACTCTTCTGATACGTCGGATCAAAACGAGCTCTCTTTTGTTTGAATTTATCAGAAGGATCATAACGAGAAAACTTTCTCTTTAGATCTGAAAAATATTTCATAGCTTAAATATCATCAAATAAATCAAATAAATTAAAAAAAATATGGTACTTTCTGATTATTTACACTCCTCTCCCAAAACATTAACAATTATTGACAACTATGTTTTTACCCAAAAAACAACAGCCATTTTCAAAAATGGTGATGTGCTAGGGCTCCTTGTGTACAAAGCCATCAATCTTAGTTTAAAAAAAAAAAAAAAAAAAAAAAAAAAAAAAAAAAATTACAGAACTGCAGAAACTTGGCATCACACACTTGATCATTTTCTCCATGTAAAAACTGATCTTTACATTTAAAAATATGTCAGAGAATTTCACACATTTTGATTCATAAAATTTGATTGTTTAAGATAGTGATGGGCAAAAGTTTTGGAAGCAAGCCAAAAGACAAAAAATATATATATTAATGGGCCAATATAATTAAGTCTAAAACTTTAAAAAAGTATATAAATATTAATGGGATGAATGAAACTGCAAATGCATTTTTAAAAGTTTCCTAAATTCAAGCTTGAACTGCAATGTACTGATTCCGATAAGAGCTGCTAAATGCTCATCTGTCAGTCTATTGTAACAGAATTTTTCCTAAGGTTCACAGTTAAAACACTTTTCCACATGTATAAGATGAACAAATGTAGCACTTATTTTCTTGGGGTGAGATATTAAATTTGGGAAATTTGTTTTCAACAACAATTCGTAAAACTTTAATTTTGGAACACTGAGAAACAACTGTTTGAGATGATTGCTAGATATTAACTCAATTAATTGAAACTGCAAATCCAGCCTCACTGCTTCACAATTTACCCTCCAAAGCATGTTAAAAATATCCAGTTCTGTTTGAACAGCTTGAAATCTGCATTCAAACTCAAAATACAGTTTTCTTAGGCTATGTTCAGAACTCCTAAGCTTGTCTTCATTTACTGAGGGTGTAGAATTTAGCCTGAGAAAATGTGACAAGTCATTTTAGCTAGCTGCCCAGCAAACAGATCAAGTTTTAGTTTAAAACCCTTGAGAGGAGCCTAGATGTTATTGATAGATTTTTTTCCCTTGCATCTTGACATTTCAGTTGTTCATGTGACAGAGAAGATCTTTGAAAAATGCAAAGTCCTCAAACCATGCTTTATCTTCCAACATTTTACACTCTACAGAAAACTATTTCTCATGGAAGAATGACACAGTGTTGTCTTTCAACTGCCAAACTTGCTCAAAAACACGTTTTGCGCCAAGATACCTTACTTTTATGTAATATTGTACATCAGAGGATTCAGATTGGCATGGACTGAAGAAATCTTGAAATTGCCTTTAAGTACACGACATCAAACAATATTTACAAGTGTCATGATTACTTTAAGTAGAGTTTTAATATTCAATGCAGATTTACACGGGATATTTTAATGTAGAAAGACAACATTGTTCCCAAGATAGCTGTGATTAGAGAGTTCAAGAAATCCCGATTATAATCGGCACTTCAATAAACATAATACAGTTAAAATTCGTTAATTCAGACACCCATAATCTGGACCTCAAAGCTACAAACTGTCTGCGTCGTGTTGACGCATGCGCGTAAGACCTTCACGGCTGCACATATGCGTGTGCGCATGCGCATTTAATGTATAACAGATGGTATAAGCTAAAATTAGCTAATTATCTATTTCAGTTAATGTTGCAGATTGCATTGTTCCTTAATCTTCGAATTGGATCCGGCTTATTATTTTTTTGCAGACTGTTAGAGCAATTTTATAAAAGTAAGCTTGAACTTTCGGTTATGTCAAATAGAATTTACGATGCTGGGCCCCAAAGGATCTACAAGCGAAAGTATGTTTCAATGTCCATCAAAAAAAAGTGGAATTGCTGCAAAAAATGGATAAAGATATGAAGAAAGGCAGATCAGTGAAACGAAAAAAATTTCGATTGACTGAAAAAAAACGGATAAAGGCATATCCTTTGTTTCTTTAACATTCCAAAATCTGTTTATCAATTTCACGCTGCTCTGGGGGGGGGACGTCGCTGCATGCAATGAACTGGAAGTTGATCTGTCAGCACTATCCTTATCTTCAGGGCAGATGTTTTTATTTTATTTGGTTTATAATTCCTTACTAAATGTAGTATTTCATCTCGATGTACTCCGTCTTTGATATGATTTAAATCAAATTCCTCGTCATTATAATTCACTTCCGATAGTGAAGAAAGTGACACAGAGGTTATTGAAAACGAAAAAATTTCGATTGACAAATTAGTCAGTATTCTCGACACAGCAATTATAGGACTTGAACAACGGAACTTTGTAACTAACAAGAAATTATGTCTGTTTATAGAATTAAAGAGAAGTATTATCACATAAAACGAAGCAACTTAAACAACTACATTGAAAGAAATGTTTAATAAAGTAAACAAATAAATATTAAGCTTTTTTTTTTTTTTTTTTGTAAATTTTGATACCCTTTAGATCATAATTGTTCTTTATTTCATAAATTTCGGTTTCATATTTTTAATTTTATAATTTCTGCATGCTATCTTACCAGATTTAAACTAATGATTTATAATCCGGAAAAATCGATAATCCGGAATTGCCGAAGTTCCGACGAGTCTGGATTAACGACTTTTGACTGTAATACATACGTTTATTACAGGTACTTTCAAAGTTTAAAGGACTTTCACAAATTCATGAAAAATATCATATTTCATTGTACTTACCTATAGTGACCACATGCATGGTAGTTCCTTGGTAATTTCAAAATTTTCATCTACACCTCTTACAAATAATACTAGTTAAGCAGTATCATTTATCATAGCTATGCAAAAGGATCTAAACTGGCCAGTCTTTGACTCTGTAAGGTACTTTTCTTTCCAGCATGCCTTCATAATGTAATGATAGCATACTTGGTCTATATTTGGGAGGTCCAGGTTCGAATTCCAGGAAGGACAATGTACATTTTTCACATCTGCTTCAAAATAACCTAATGACTCGACAGTGGCACGACTAAACAGTAGTAGACAATAATTTGTCATCACCAGGATTTGGTGATTGGGTCCGCTTATCCCTAGTGAAATTCCCCTTTAAAAGGGGAAGTATATAAGGTATTTTCTTTTTCCTTTTTGCATGTCTTCATGGTGTAATGGTAGCACACTTGGTGCATATTCGGGAGGTCCAGGTTCGAGTCCTGGTGAGAGCATTGCACATTTTTCACATCTACTGCTTGAAAATAACCTAATGACTCTACAGCTCAAGCTGTGATGACAGATTTTTATTAATGGATCTAAAAAAGTAGCGACTCTTAGAAGTTGCCACTTTTTTAGATCAGCTCATAGTTTCAAAAAATATTTTTTTTATTGTCCAGACATCAAACGCCACAAACTTAGAGTACATATTTTTCAAAGAACTCCTCATCACTGAGAGCTTGTTTACTTTTAGCAATAGTGCATGCTACAATGTAATCTGCATGTGAAGCTACTTGAAAGATACCATTTACTTAAACAAAACAAATTTTTGACCTGATAAGTCTACAAAAATTTCTGCTTTCTTGTTTTCTGTCATATTTAAACATTGCTTTATAACTGGAATCCTTATGCTTCAATGTGAAATGATGGGAAACATTACATTCTTTGAAGACTGCTACAGCGTGACTGCAGATGAAACACATTGGTTTATCCTTTACAACTGTAAACAAATATTTTCAGGTCCATTGATCTTTAAAAGCATGACACTCTGAATCAACTACAGTCAAAAGTCGTTAATCTGGACTCTTCGCGACTTCGGCGATTCCGGATTACAGATCATCAGTTTAAATCGCGTAAGATGGCATGCAGAAATTATAAAATTAAAAATATGAAACCGTATTTTGTGAAATAAAGAGCAATTATGATCTAAAGGGTATCAAAATTTACAAAAAAAGGCTTAATATTTATTTGTTTACTTTATTAAATATTTCTTTCAACGCGCGCATGCATAAAGCATACATTACGCAGAGTCAAAATTAGAAAATTGCAAACAGAAAACTATTTGATGTGTATTCATGATATTTATAATGATGAGGAATTTGATTTAAATCATATTGAAGACGGAGTACATCGAGATGAAATACTACATTTAGTAAGGAATTATAAGCCAAATTTTCATATTTTAAAATTTTTTGGAAGTGAAAGTATTAATTTTTCAGGGTTTTGTAAGGATTTTATGTTCTTTAAATGGTGAATCTTCAGGTTATGGTAACTCGGCGATTTTTTGGCGACCAACCCTGCTACGGTAACCTGCTAATTTGTTATGAACGCCGTTTTGTTTTCACGAAGTAAAGGCATTTTTTTTTTTTAAACACAACATTTTTTTCAAAAATCTGTTAGCCGAATTACGCTTATACTAGAACTTTTATGGAACAAAAATGCTTAATCATGACAAAGATTAGGTGCAAAATTGGGAGAAAGAGCAGAATCGCAAACTGCTTGCCACGTTTTTAAGAATTGCACATACACAGTATCCATGTACACGTCGACCTATTTTCACTTAAAAAAATATCCCAGAATTGCACAAAAATGGCATTGTGCACACTCTTGACTTTACCTATGTACACATCGACCTATTTTCACTTAAAAAGTCAAACAAAATTGACAAAAATTCATTTCTTCTTACTCTTGTAAAAAGCACCAAACAAATAAGTGGGCGATTCTGCACTTTAGCAGCAAAATTGTTTCTAAATGCTTATTAGCTAAAATCCCGATCAGAATTTTCCGGAAAATGTCACATTACATGTCTCATGATCTCTCATTTCTCTGAGACAAAATAATCTGTGATTCCAACTGTGTACTTCTCAGATTATTTCGCTAAGTCCTAGCTAGTAGCCTTTATCGCCTTATCAAAATGTTGCCAAACTACCTGTTACCATATTCCAAAGATTAGTCCTTTGAACTTATGTTTTTTAAATGATTTAAGTTTTCAAAGTCATTAGGTTTTTTTTGAAAGGATTTCCAGTTTAAAAATTTTTCCACTTATTTGTTTGGTGCTTTTTACAAGAGTAAGAAGAATTGGATTTTTGTCAATTTTCTTTGACTTTTTAAGTGAAAATAGGTCGATGTGTACATGGATAAAGTCAAGAGAATGCACAATGCCATTTTTGTGCAATTCTGAGATGTTTTTTTGAAGTGACTATAGGTTAATATGTACATGGATAAAGTCAAGACAGTAACTTCTGGTCCCAAGCTTTGTGGATTTCTGGACTTTACTGTACTTTCAAGTTTAAAAAATAGTACATTCCTATGAGTAATCAGATTAGATGACGAAGTCACTTCTTTCTTTTGTAGGCTCCTGGGCATCGCCTTTTACGAGCATATCATTAGACTGGTAAGCAATTATAGTAGTTATACAGTATCATCATTAATAGAAATTATAGCACGTGTGAAGTAATATGAGGGAGCAATCTATGAAGAGTTCTTTAGGCAGTATGTGGTTTAATCCTAGTATCCGGTGAATACAGGATTTGGCTTCTTTTGGCGACTTTATGATGAGCAGTAAAAACGAAACATATACGATGAAGTAGTAAACGGGTCATTCAAAGAATATATATAGTGTATAGTATATAGATAGACGTTCTTTGGGTCATTTTTGGTGTTGGCGATAATTTTCAAAATCGCGCCAAGGCTGCACCGTATACTAGGATTTTACCCAGTATGTTTATCTGCTTTTGAGCTTATGCGAACGCGATGATTCTTTCATCCCAAATCTCGAAGATTCAGTTACCCTTTGGTTAATCATATGAGTACATGCAAATCTATATTTACACGAGAAATATTGAAAAGGATACAATACATAATTAAAAAAAAATTCGAACGAACCTTCTGCTTCTTTATTCATAGTCATCTCCTTTTCAATCGAAATTTTATTTTGAATTTCTTGATTGAAGTACAATTTTGCCGGAATAGTATCAATTAATTTCCTCAGAAATTTATCTTCTTCTGTTATATGCTCAATCAATTTCTGAAAGTCAACATCAGGAAGGCCATTTTCTGTAACTACCACTGACGTTTCATGTTGCTTTTCATCCTGCTCCATCTTTTTTAGAAAACTTATTAAAATTATTCAAGTGCCTAAAATATAACACGTGTGGTTCAAAAATGTAAACATTTGCAAGTTGCCACAATCTAGAATCTGGAAGTCAGAAGTCTGGATTTTATGCTAGTAAAAAGATTTGACAAAATTTTCTTTCTGTTTGAATTATAAAATTTATAATTAACTTATTACTCTGAAAATTTTCAGTCAGCATGAAATATAAAATGTGCTGAATTACGATAATGAACCATTTTAGCCAAAATTTTAAATATATTTCAGTGTATTCTCAGTGAACTAAAAATAAAAATATTAATTTTTAATTTATTGAGTAATTGCATGTTCTCATATGATAAAAAATTCGGCCGAGTTAAAAAATAATACTTTTTTTAAAGACATTAATATTTTCAATAGTTTTTAAATAAAATGGCAACAACATATGGCTGTATGTCAAATCAAATCTTGGCTTTTGTTTACGGAAAGGTAAGTTGTCATTTATTTTATTTGGAAATAATTTAATCGACTATACTCTTCTTTATTTTTCGAAATAATATTATCAATCATTATCTGACATTTTTATTCGCTATTTATTCATTTTAAGTAACAAAGAAGATGGTTTATAAAATGAAAATATTTTAATCTCAGAAGAATGCCGATTAATTCATAAATAACATTGCAAATTATTCTTTCGGAACTTTTAAGTAAAATTGATTAAAAGAGTTGTAGGAAAGGTTATGCTTTTCTGAAATTATGCTGACACCATCCATATTTATTTTCTTTATTAATGATTGTGTGCTTTGTTCATATTTCATTATATCAAGATTTAAAAATGTTCAGCGAGATTATGAATTGTAGGGAAATAATTCGAAAGTTTTTTTTTTATGTGAAATCATATAGGAAAATATTTTCTCTAATATGTATGATTGATTTTTGTCACTTCTTTTCCTTTCTTTGAAACATTTTTTAAATTTAATGTGCCGCATATATTTGTATTCTTTATAATAAAATTTTCAAGTGAAATTAATGTACTGAATAGAAATTTAAATTAGTTTGAATATTGTTTTAGGAATTTAATACTGTTTCATGTAATTTCTGTATTTTAAATCTCTGTATAATGAATCGTATGAAAAGGAAGTTCTTAAATTATCTCTGTCCCTTGAAATGTTTAAAGAACATGTAATAATTAAAAAAATTATATGTATGTTATGTGAATAATGTGTTATACTTCATGGGTTAAATATTTGTTCGTATATAACTACCAGAATAGGTTACGAGTTCTTTTGGTCATTGCTTTGAATATCTTTCAGGTATGGTTTTATGTAATAATAGTAAAATTGTCTGTTTTCCTCTTAAGCAGTGTCTTGTTAACAGCATTATTAGCCTGTGGCAAACCAGTGTGCTGAGGTCCCTGCAAAAACATTTGTAGAAATGAAATGGTAAGCATAGGGCCCTTGGTGCCCATCGTGCTCTTGCATTAAACTGGCCCTGTTCTTAAGGACTATTAATTGTTGCAGCTTTTACTTCTGCCCACTTCTCTCATGGTGGAATTGTTGAAAATGAATGTAAATTAAGAGTCTTCATAACTAGATATGTATGAAATATTCAAATTTCCATTAAGTGACAATCATATGGCAGGGCATTTAAAACCTAAAATTTTACTGATATTGAGCAGTAAGGATAAGTACAAAATGCACATTTTCCCCCCTATTTACTTTCACAATCCTGGAAAGAAGAGCCATTCAGTTAGTCTTGTGAGAACTATAAAAAAATGGGCTAATTTTTTGAATATGGTAACAGGTAGTTTGGCGACATTTTGGTAAGGCGATAAAGGTTACTAGCTAGGACTTTAGCAGTGTACATGAATGAAGTCAAGAGTGTGCGCAATGCCATTTTTGTGCAATTCTGGGATTTTGTTTAAGTGAAAATAGGTCGACGTGTACATGGATACCGTGTATGTGCAATTCTTAAAAACGTGGCAAGCAGTGGGCGATTCTGCACTTTGTCCCAATTTCGCATCTAATCTTCATCATGATTTAAGCACTTTTGTTCCACAAAATTTCTAGCATAAGCGTAATTCGGCTAGCAGATTGTTGGAAAAAAAAGTTGAGTAAAAAAAAAAAAAATGCCTTTACTTCATGAAAACAAAATGGCGTCCAAACAAAAACTAGCAGGTTGCTGTAGCAGGCCAAATTTTTTGCCAAAAAACCGCCAAGTTACCATAATCCAAAGATTAACAAAAAAGGTTATTTTATTTGTAAAATTTATGAAAATTTCAATAACAACAGATGCTTTTAAAGAAAAAATTTCATTTTTTGTCATAAAATTAAAGAATTGCACAAACTTGGCATTGTACACTCCCTTGACTTTGTCCATGTACACCTCGATATGTGCCATAACCAAAACTATTCGTGCTCTGCTGGGATCCATCCGAATACTCTCCGCCAAACCTTTCCTGCCAAATCTAAAGTCTCTCTCTTTTTTTTTAAATTAAAAAATTTTTTTTATCTAACCTATTGTTGGATTAAATGCAGTAAATAATTTTAATATATGTAAGGGCCAAGATTCTTATTTCTGGGAATTTATGTATACATGCTGGAGGGGGGGGGGAACACCATTTCAGCAGGCAACATTTTTTTTCTTATCTATTTTAGTTCTATATTTAGAAAAATAGTTAATCTATTTTTCTAAATTTCTTATGTTTCAGAAAATTTTAAAACCATGTTGCTGTGTAATAAAATTAATGTTTTTATTTCCTCCTATGATAGTGTTGGTGAATTTCACAAACTTATTGGTGATTATGAAGAGAAACATTTGTTTAGCTATCTTTATGTATGTTTTGATTATGCATTGATGAAATAGACATAAAAATACCTAAATAAATGTTTATCTTCACATTTGACGATTCAGAGAACCACCCATATTTTTGCACTCTTTTTTTTTTCTCCCCATGCAAGACATATACACTTTTAAGTTTTTCGTGCTGTTATTCTGTATGCAACAACCTGTTTTTGCTTTAAAAAACTTAGCAACGTGTACGACCTTTGGACCAAAATGAGATGGGGAAAAAGAAGTGCCTTATGCCATTAAGGAAGCTATATCCTGTGTACATGCTGCTGTATGCATGTAAAAAGTTCAAAGATGACAAGAACTCTAATGAAATCAATGACATTTTGGTTAAATTTCCATGGGGAACAAATATTAATTTAGCAGTCAAATAACAAAAATCAGTGTTATGTTTGCAAATTTTTACAGGACTAGTTTTGATGGTTTTACCTAACCACCATCCTCAGCTGCCAAAGTGCAAATGAGCAAGATAAGATATAGCGAATAAATATATCCCTAATAACCTTATCTTTCCCTATATCTTATCTCATTTATTTGCACTTTGGCAGCTGAGGATGGTGGCTCGGTAAAACCATTGAAACTAGCCCTGTGAAAATTTGCAAATATAACGCTGATTTTTGTTGTTTGACTTCTAAATTAATGAAATTTTGTCAGAAATGATGAAAACTATAGTATGTAGTCTACCACAAACAATATGCTAAAACACTGAAATTTCCGTAGGGGGGATTATAATCCTCAGAGTAGTAAAAATGTCTTAAGAAGTGGAAATCTGTCTCGGGCAATGCTAAATGCATACATGGGTTGTTACATGAATACTTTTTAACGACATGGTACATTGCATCATCATTACTATTTTGCAATTTTTCTGTGGGTGTGTGGACAATTGGAAAGCTCCTTAAGAACTTGTATATGGGAAAATTAGGTACTTATGTATTATTCCGTTGACAATGAAAGTTGGCTAAAATCAAATTGTGAATATGGCAGGAGTACTGTGAAAGTTTCGCTGGTCATTCCTGTGGAATTCTAAATTGCACTTTTCTCATTAACAACTTTTCTTTTCTCATTAATAAAACATTTGTTAGTCTATCTGCACAATTTTACTAAATAGCTACTGCTGTGAAAATATTTGACTCACTTTATTTTTGTGCTTCATTATAAGGATTTTGTCAATTTGTACTGTTACATTGGTAAGAAGTTTGTACTCATATAGGTAATTTTAGTCAAATTATGAGTGAAATTGTTGTTATTTCTTTTGTATAATGCAACATGAAAAATTTAAAGAGACGAGCTATGCTCGAAAAGTAAGAATAGAGGGGACAATTAACATTGTCTAAATGGGTATCTCAGTTATTGACAAGATAACACCAAGCTGACAGCGGTTTTGGCAACTTTTTTTCATTGCCAATTTGGTGAGAAATTGTCAAAAGTCAAAGCAATTGGTCAACCTTGTCGACCAACTGCTGACATTTTGGTTTGGCCCTGTATCACCATAATAAGTATTGAAACTGAATCAATATAAATGATTACTATATTAGCTGCAACTATAATTTGACGCTCATATCGCCTTCCATTAATTTCGAGAAGCAGAAATGGTTAGACTGAAGGGTACTCCTTGTATTATTGAGAAGTTGTTGTTCCATTTATCGCCAGGATGTTGATTTATTTATGGTAACCTGAGTAGTTGAATGTTATGGAAACCTTATTATGGTGTAATTGACTGCATGATTGTGGTAAATTTTGAATTATAGGATGTTTTGTAAGGGCTTGTGGTGTGTGTTGATTAGGAAATACATTGCTTGTTTTGTTGTTTAGACGGTAGAAATGGCTGAATGTAGTAAGATTAATTTGAAGTTTCTGTACGATTTGGAATGAAAGGGGAAAATAGCATTTATTGACTGTAATGAAGGTTGTGTGTAAATGAAGGTTTACTTAGTAGCTATTTTCCGGACAGTTCGGAACTACGGAGGATAATTTTTACTCTTATTTTTGTGAATTTATGTGGCGATGCCGATATATGGATTGAAGTTCAGATAATTTTAGGAAGTTTTTGGATGCTGTTAAGGAATTTTGTGTGCCCACAGACTGAAGAGGAAGAAATCTCTAAATAAGGTAGGTGGATATTTGCTTTGTGTACTGCTTAGATGCATAAGAGGTTTTTCCTTTTTATGTTATTTTATTGTTTGGTTTAAAATGTAGTTTATTGAGATTATGTATTTTTTGTTTGCCTCTACTGTAGAATTGGGCTC